TTGAATTTCCGACATGTCATGAATATAATAAAGCTTCCTAAGATACAAATGAGTTTCATAAATATCAATTTATCTTCTTTTCATTGATTTTCGTTGGATTTTACGTGTTTTAAGTTATCAAAACATGCACCTCCCTGTAGATGTGCCCGCCTCCCGCTACATGTGCCCGAGATAGGGGAAATGTAGTGAGGCATACAACCAGTGTTGTATATTGAATTTCCGACATGTCATGAATATAATAAAGCTCCTAAGATACAAATGAGTTTCATAAATATCAATTTATCTTCTTTTCATGGATTTTCTTTGGATTCTACGTGTTTTAAGTTATCAAAACATGCACCTCCCTGTAGATGTGCCCGCCTCCCGCTACATGTGCCCGAGATAGGGGAAATGTAGTGAGGCATACAACCAGTGTTGTATATTGAATTTCCGTCATGTCATGGATATAATAAAGCTTCCTAAGATACAAATGAGTTTCATAAATATCAATTTATCTTCTTTTCATTGATTTTCTTTGGATTCTACGTGTTTTACGTTGTCTAACAATCACCTCCCTGTAGATGTGCCCGCCTCCCGCTACATGTGCCCGAGATAATGGTGTAGCCAGACATTATATTATATTATATATATTATATCTATGCGTATCTTTCTTGCTCCCTCGACGTGGCCACTCCACCAAACATACCCCCTCTTTCTTACTCACCCCCCCTCTCTCTCTCTCTCTCTCTCTTTCATCCCCTGTTTCTTTTGTTTTCTTTTTCTCTTTTTTCTTCTTCTTTTGCTCCTTTTCTTCCTTTTCTTTCTTTTCCTTTCTTTCCTATCCTTCCTCTTTATCTCTTCTTCTTTCTTTTCCTTTCTTTCCTATCCTTCCTCTTTTTCTCTTTCTTCCTCCTTTTCCGGACAATATCCTGACAGGCGGGGGTGTCGCACCCCCACACCCCATTTGGGGACGCCCCTGGTTGTACGGAGTTAGATAATATTCACACTTTTCGTAAATATACAATATTGCACGATTTTTTTTCCTCCTCATAATAATGTAAGGAAGTAATATTTTCAAGATTTTAAGTCAAATAAGATACGATTTTGCGATCGTAAGGCATTAAGCAAACGGTAGTGTCCCCTATTTTATGTCTTTTTAAAAGTAGGCCTTTATTTTCTTTAAGCTTTGATAATTATATAAAAACATCACCATAATCTAGCTAATATATTTCCCCCGCTCCAGTGGTGACAAAAAAGGGAAACATAACACACACGTAATCCTATCGTAATTGTCCCCCTTGTGTGAAATATCCCCCCCCCCCTCAACTGATTGGCTAATCTTTGGTGACAAGACGATATATTTTACAAGGAAACCACCTCGACCGAAAAAAAAGACAAATTTAGAACGTGACAGTAAGACAATATATATATGCTTTATGATTACCAACCTCTCCTACGAGATGACCCCGACAATAAGACACTATTTCAAACTCGTGGGAGACAGTGAGCATATAGGATGACAATATATAATGCTTTTTCACAAAAACAAAACAAAAAACACAACAATATATTCCTGTTCTCAATGTGTATGATGAATTGACAGGTGATATGTATATTATGATGTGTTTGTTCTATAATAATCTATCTTGTTTCATGACAACTTACATCAGCCTTAATTTTCGTTCTATGTGTTCCCTTTGTTGTATTTTCTTTCTTTTTATTATGGTTTGGTTATTGAAATTAATTGATTATCTATATTTCGTGTGTGAACCTTTAAGCATGTATATATCGACTCGAATAACTATTACATTTATTTTCTGTGTTTGCTTTGAATTTACCATGTCTCGAATGAATTAATCAATGATTATTTTTTATTGAACCTGCATTCAAATTTATGTTTACATTCCGTATTTTTCATGTGTTTGTTCTGTGTTTATCATTATATCAGGCCCCCTTGTTGCTACGAGGGCTAGATATCCCACCCCAAAATAAAAACGAAGACAAATTTCTCACGGCATTTTTTACTGTAATTGTGTTGCACTAAAAAGACCTTATCAGACCTCCTTACCCATCACCATCACCCTCACCCCAACAAAAAAGACAATAAATGTTTGATTCATATTTGGATTGCATTATCTCTTTGTACGATACATGACGCGAAAACCGTCAAGGTCCGAAAGTGTTCAAGCCCCCTATCCCCCAAAGTCTCAAACAAATCACAATTCCGAAGTGCCCCCCCCCCTACCTCTCACCCCTCTCCGGACAGTAAGTAGGCTCGTGTTCCGGCCCAACCCCGCGTGCCTTTCTTGCTCCCTCGACGAGACAACTCCACCCAACAACCCCCTCTCTCGTTTACTCCCACCCCTCCTCTATCAGGCTCTTAACTCCACTTGTTTCCTTTTTCTCTTTTTGTTTTCTTCTTCCTTTTTCCTTTTTTTTTCTTTTCTTTCTTTTCCTTTCTTTCCTCTCCTCCCTCTTTTTCTCTCTCCTTTCTTTTCCCTTTTTTCCTTTCTTTTCCTTTCTTTCCTTTCTTTTCCTTTTCCTATTTTCTTTTCTTTTCTTTCCCTCTCTTTCTTCCCCTCCCCCTTATCTCTTTTTTCCCGACGGCAGCACAATTTTACCGACAATATCCTGACAGGTGGGGGGGGGGGGGTTGTCGCACCCCCACACTCCCCTCTTTGGAGACGCCCCTGCTCGTATGCACTATTTCGTTCTTGAAACACTGTTATATTATATTTACACAAACAAATTACCTTACAGAAAACATTAACATACCCAAAGAAAGTAGTCCGTCAAATGAATCATTATCAAACAAATAAATTACTCAAAAGTATACTGAGTAATAATCAACAATCATATTAAAGGATACTGATTTTAAATACAGGCCTCTACACTGTTAAACAAAGTTAAAAGGTAGGTGTTACCAAGCGCGGATCAAGGGAGGGCCGAGCCCCCCAGCCAAAAAAAAAAAAAAAAAGGAGAGAGCGAGAAGGAAAAGAAGGGAAAGGGAAAGAGAGAAAGGGAAAAAAGAAGAGGAAGAAGAAAAGAAAAGAGGGAAGAAGGAGATCGGGGGGGGGGGACTTGCCTTCCAGGCTGTTCCCCCCCCCCCCCCAATCAAAAAATAAAAGAGAAGGAAGGAAAGGGAAAGAAAAAAGGAAAAGAGGAGATAAAGGGAAGGAAAAAAGAGGAAGAAGAAAAGAAAAGAAGGGGGATATCAGTTGCAATTTTCCCGCCAACAAGTTGTGGATAGGGGGGGGAAGGCCCTTGCCCCCCCCCCCGTCCCTGCTAAAAAAAAAAAGAGAAAAGGAATGAAAAGGAAAAGAGGAGAGCTAAAAGGGAACAAAAAAAGGAAGAAGAAAAGAAAAGGGAGAAAAGAAGGGGAGATCAGTTGCGGTTAATCCCGCCAACAATGTGTGGAGCGGGTGGGGGTCAAAATGACCTTGCCCCCACCCCCAGCAAATCTAAAAGAGAGAGAGGGAAGGAAGGGAAGGGAAAGGGAAAGAGGAGAGAAAGAAAAAGAAGAAAAAAAGAGAATGAAGATAGGTAAGGGATATCAGTTGCAATTCCAACAAGGTGTAGATCGGGGGGGGGGGGGGGGGGGCTTTGGGGAAATAAAATTCAAACGTGGTTTATTTCTAATTCCATAACGGTTGTTTACAAATAATGGTGAAATGACATCCTTTACATTCATGTCGGAAATTCAATTTACAACAGTAGTTGTATGCCTATTTTCTACACTCCCCCTATATCGGGCACATGTAGCGGGAGGCGGGCACATCTACAGGGAGGTGGTTATTTGACAACGTAAAACACGTAGAATCCAAAGAAAATCCATGAAAAGAAGATAAATTGATATTTGTGAAACTCAATTGTATCTTAGGAAGCTTTATTATATCCATGACACGACGGAAATTCAATATACAACACAAATTTTGTATGCCTCACTACATTTCCCCTATCTCGGGCACATGTAGCGGGAGGCGGGCACATCTACAGGGAGGTGCATGTTTTGATAACTTAAAACACGTAAAATCCAACGAAAATCAATGAAAAGAAGATAAATTGATATTTATGAAACTCATTTGTATCTTAGGAAGCTTTATTATATTCATGACATGTCGGAAATTCAATATAGGCTACAACACTAAGTTGTATGCTTTACTACATATCCCCTATCTCGGGCACATGTAACGGGAGGCGGGCACATCTACAGGGAGGTGGTTATTTGACAACGTAAAACACGTAGAATCCAAAGAAAATCCATGAAAAGAAGATAAATTGATATTTATGAAACTCATTTGTATCTTAGGAAGCTTTATTATATTCATGACATGTCGGAAATTCAATATAGGCTACAACACTTAAGTTGTATGCCTTACTACATATCCCCTATCTCGGGCACATGTAGCGGGAGGCGGGCACATCTACAAGGAGGTGATGTATTGACAACGTTAAACACGTATACTCAAAGAAAATCAATGCAAAGATGTTGAATTGATAGTTGTAAACTCATATATAAGGGAGCTTTAATGTTACATCCGTGAACTCTCGGATATTGAATATAGAATACTATTTTATTACACAACTCGATCCCTATCTCGATCGGGCACATGTAGAGGTAGGCGGGCACATCTACAGGGAGGTGGTTAAGCCGACGACCGAGTTGGTCACGTGTTTTATGGAGTTAAACAACGACCAAAAGAATCGCCATTTTTGTATAAACTGTATCAAAAATGTATCAAAATCCACACTAAATAAATTTACTTAACACTCAAACACTTCTACCTCATAATCACGGACAATACAACTGTATAATGGTAAGATTTTGCCCTGATTTGGCTGAACCGCTGTGTTGCACGTATTACCTTCATTGTACAGTCATGACCCCAATTCTGCACGCACGTACGTACGATCGTACGCGCGCAGTCAAGAACATCAATATTCATAAATTGACACGACGTCACTGATATGCATATTCATTGCCTCCTTGTAGATGTGCCCGATTAGAGGCTACCATAAACATCGTTACCGTGTGCACGGAGAGAGCCGCAAGAGTGCCGGTGAAGTAGAGGTACAGCGTGAGGTAGCCGGTAGGGGATACCAAGACATGGACAAATTCAACTTCATTCGAGATTGCTCTTCGATGTGACAACATGGTGCGATTTAAAGTAAAGAAGACTCTTCAATACTTGTTTTTTGCCACGGTTGTCGTACTGGTTTGGCGAGAATTCGAACGACTTGACGGCAATCATGGGGTGAAACCCTCGCATTTGGAAGCAGAGGCGAGAGGACAGCCACTTGTTGCGGGCGTGAACGAGGGACCGAATGGTCCTGTCCGAAGGTCGGTAGGCGGCCGGGGAGGGGGAATCGATGATGGTGGTGGTGGTGGTGGCATACGCGGTGGAGGAGGGGCATGGGGACGTGAACCGTTATGGCAGGAAAACAAACAGGTGGACGCTGCAATTGTGAGAGCGAAGCAGAGGGATGTCGCTTCAGAAGTAGAATCTAAGCCAGTTTTACCTGCAAATTTAATACTTCAAAAAAATTCATCAACTTATAAGAACTCTAGCGAGATTGCTGCAAGAGTTAATCAAGAGAAAGCTGCTAAACCAAAGACCAACGAGAAAGAAGTAAAATCAGAAGGTCATCAAGTATTTTCTGTAACTATTGAGGAACCAAAAGTTGTGCAGAATCCAAATCCTCCTTTGCAAATCAAAAACTTGTCAAATTTAGTGGCAAGAAAGCCTCCATCCAATTTTACAATTATAGTTCAAAACGGAGACAACCATTCAAAGCAACAAGCACACAAACAAACGGAACTTTCAGATGTGTTTATTGGCGTGAAAACCACAGAGAAATATCACAGCAGTCGTCTGCAGCTCATCTTGGATACCTGGTATTCACTAGCTCCAGAACAGGTGAGTGTGATGCATTCATGCTGATAGATGGTTCAATCCTGTCATGATTATTTATAGAAGTGTTTGTCTGGGAGAGATGAGTTTGTAACTTTTTGTGCATGATGTTATAATTTGTGTCATTCATGTGAAACTGAGATAGCTGATTTAAAGTAGTTATCTGTAATTGTATTAGAGTTGCAATTTGAATATAGATTATTAGTATGACCAATAATTAAAGCTTTTATTTATGCCCCTCTCAAAATGGCGCAATTACAATTAAGAGGCTGATAAATGTTGGTGAAGTATTATCTTCTGTAATATAAAGTCATCTTCAAAAGGATAATTTAGACGGTGGACCTGAAGTAACTGGAGCCTGGAGGAGGGGGAGGGGCATTAAAACTAAAGCCTAAAGGGAAGGTTTCAACTCTCAAGTCACATCTTTGTCACAAAATCAGTTGTTACCTATTCATCACTCCCAAAAACATTATTTCATATTTTGAAAGTTGGATGAATTCTTATTCTATATGGGTAATATATGAATGTGAAGCATTTTGTATATATATGAAAAATTAGAAAAAGACATAGTGAATTCTTTGCTTCAGTGTGTGTCTGACCTCACCAAAGTATGCACAAAGTGAATTATACTTTTTAATAATATGTTTTTTAAATATATTTTTTTTTATTGAAGTCTAAATCAATGTGTGAAGATAAAAATAATCTGGATTTTTTTAAATGTTCTTATTGTCAAGGATGACAAGTATCTTTCCCCTAATTCCATAGTCTAAGTTTGTGCTGCTTTGTAAGTGATTTGTACTTGGATGTTGAAACACATAAAATTGAGTAAACATTGGAAAAGTGTACTGGTGTAGATATTTGATAGATGTATTAGAGCACTTGTACTATTTGAATCAGCTGAAAGACTACAGTTGTACTTGTAAACCAATACCAACTTGCTTTTAAATATGAAACATATATGCACCCTGATAATAAATCAAATACGTTTATAATTGTTACCCAAACCCAGGGATATGCAACAAAACTCTTTGCTCAAATTGTTCACAATTTTGCAAATAACTAACACATTGTCAGGAAAAACCCCACAAACATAAACAAAATAAAACTCCAAAACAAGGCAGTTTCCAACAATTCCTTGACACGTCATAAAAAAATACATCATTCATAATACAGAATTTTGAGGAGATATGATCATGGATATATTGATTCTATTCATCGCCTCATTTGTCGTTGATAGCTTAGCGTGAGTCAGAAAGGATTGTGCATTATGCAGAGCACACTTCTGCCTATTGTTGTGATGTTTAGAGAGAGGTGTGCTCGGTGAGGGTAAATAAAGAGAAATCATGAGGGAAAATGACCGCAGCTGAAATATGGAGCATCTGGAAAGTGTATGCATGGGCGATGATGCCACAGAGGAAATCATTTCGAAATCTTTTGACCGAGCCCACAGTTAAAGTATAGAACGGTGGATATTTATACACATACATTGTATGTAGGAAAATGCATTAATTAAAATGTAATAACTTGATTTTTAAATAGACATGCTTATACAGTCACAGTAGGCCTGTATTTATGTTATACACAGAGTATAACGTGCCATACCTTACATGTATTTTTGTCGAGAAGTAAACATCGCTAGTATCTAGATAGACAGTATTTTGAAGATAAGGTGCATATTGTGCTATATATTATACATGTACTGTTATCATCAGGTAACCTTGTAATAATCTTCAAATTTGAAGGTGAATTAGATAATGTAAGTCATGGAGTCATGGACCAACAGGGTGCTACAAGAATTTTTTTCACCACTTGCCCTGTCGGGCAAGTGGGTTTTCAATTTACTTGCCCAAACAATATTTCCACTTGCCCAAAACTTTAAAGCGAAAAAGGACTCGAGGTTAAAGCATTTATTATCTCGTAATGATAAGTTAGTGTTTTAGATAGCAAATTAATGCACATACATGTACAGTGTAATTACTGTACTGAATAATAACCTAATATGTCAAAGAAAATGGTCAACAAAGGATGGTTGAAGGTTTAAAAAACGCATTTTATTGATTCTCCATAAATAATCAGATTCACATGAATCTCGGCAAGGTAGAATGGTTCAAGCAGGTTTAAGTTTTTAATATTCAGTCATGTAAAAAAGCATAATGACCCTGTTGTAAAAAATATGATACAAACATGTCATTAATGGTAGCCACATGTACCATGGTGCAACATCACATGTGTGTCTGTGCAAGCCGCTGTCATTTGGAAACGTAGGCTAATTTTCAGCTGTTAATAATTTGGGTCAACTCTTCCATCAAGAAACGTCATGTAAATAATGGGTAATCAACTATTTTAAATAAAGTACGGACATTTTTATTTCATCATTCACTGCTATAAATATCATGCCAAAATTTGTAAATTCTTACTAAATAATAATATTGAAGATATTTTACGATAAATCTCGGATAAGTATGCGAAAACTAGACTAAACAACGTCGCTAAAACCATGAAAACAAAACAACAACGGCTTATATTCTGGGGGTCTCGATACTATTATCAAAATGACTCGCTCGGTCGGATCTTGAGACCGCAGTAATAAATTGAAAACGAGACAAAAACATTCATCTGATTTATATGAGCAGCGAGTTTTAAATAATATGTTCACAATCATTAACAGTCATTATGAATAAATATCAAACATTTGACTTTTTGTACTTACTAGAAAATCCCTGTTGTTTATTCCATTCCGATTCGCACGTGTTCATTTCCCTAGAATAATGACGTCATATTTGGCGTGATTCAACCAATCGGCAATCAGAGAATAGCAAAGGCCTGTCGGTGCGGCCTGCAGAGCTAGAGAGAGAGAGCGCGAATAAGCTCGCAGCTGGTACGATCGCGCTAGCTGTCTCTAGCTAGCTCACGGCCGGCCGTGCGTGGAGGCGGAGCGGCATTCATGGCTTGAAGTGTCACTGTTGCATGCGCGCTGAGCTAGCTGAGCTGGCTAGCTGTCTGTGAAGTTTTTTCGAAATCGGAACGATCGCTTTTTTGCTTCTGGATTTTGACGACGGGTAAGAAGTTGACGGGTGAATGGTAGAGTTCTTGGACACTAGGAAATTACTGTAAAAGTATCACTTGCCCGAATCGGGCAAGTGATAATTTGATTTACTTGCCCGACGGCTCAATTTGGTTGCCCCGGGACGTCGGGCAAGCGGGTTTGTCGCGCCCTGACCAATAGTTGATGTGAGGTGAATTCATTTCAAAATAGAAAGATGTTTGAGTCAAATCAGTGCAAAAAACACACCTCTCTCTATTATGGATTTCTTACATACACACATTCACAAACGACCCCATTCTTTTGGACCTGAACGTCCTTAGAACAAAGCCCTGATTGATCTGATTGTCAATGTCATATTGTGTCATCATTTAGCATGTACCGGTATTAAAAGGATTCAAATCCAGACCTCTGCTCTAGTCTACAGTAGATCTATACTAGCGAGCACTTGCTAACCTGGCAGGCTTAACCTCAAATACCAAGTGCAGACAGGGAATTAAAATCTGTCTTCTTTGTTGACCTCGACTAATTAGACGGACTCTGTCTGTGTCAGTTTAAATGAAAACATGGGTGGTTGGATTAGCAACAGCTGGCTGGAGCTATAATTGTGATTGAATATCAATTAAGGGTCAGGGAGAGATAGTTATGACAAGGAGATACCCTTTAAAACTCCAGGGCAATGTACAGGTCTAGGTGTATTGCATTAGATGAGAGTGTGAACAGTAATGTGAAAGCCCATCGTTTGTTTGAACTGTTTGGTATTTGCCTTTCATTTTTTAATCTGAGCTGATTCACTTGTACATGTTGTAGGTGTATTGAATTTGGATACACCTGGGAAAATTGTTTTAATTATTGATTATTTCTTAATGTATCTCTGTCTGTCTCTGTTTATGTGCCCATTCTGGTATTGATTTTGTGGGTTGTGGTTAACAGACTCGTAAAACAATTTATTGATCAATAATTTGGTGTAGACAAAAGAAATCAATCAACCATGTGTTGAATACTTGTTGGATCAGGGCATGATGAGCAGCATTCTAGAGCACATCACACCGCCGTTGAACCTGACTCCAAAAATATACGAATGCCTTATCAGGAGCAGTGCCCACAATGAATTCTACGGAAGCAGGAAATTGCTATGGCGATAAAAGTCTCGATATTGATTCATAGACACAGCTCCTATTAGACAGATGGAATGTCAACTGGATAAGTTTATGAATGAAACTTTACTTTCTTGCTTCCTGAGCCGGCTGCAGACCGGTCATTTTTTAGCAAAAAGGAAGTAGGCCTCATTTTCCTTTCAAGCATGATGTCTCTAAGCTGTTTTAAGGATGACTTGTTCAGTGGTTATCTATTGTCTTTGACTCTTCTGTAATTGTCTTTTGAAAGCAAATATTTAGGACATTGTTCAGGAGGGCCATGCACTATTTGATCACTAATTTATTTTTCTTGAATTCTTTTGTCTTAGTTTTATTTTTGAGGGACAAATGTTATTTAAAATGCTTATGATTCAATCTTAACAAAAGTGAAATGGGTTGAATCAAATTTGAATTGGTTCCAATTCAAAACAAAAATCAATGAACTTTGAAGTCTGCATGGTGGTAAAAGATCTTGTTTTTGTACTGTGACTAGTGACTACCCTAGCAAAAAGGAACAACAACGACAATGCCCCAATACCGGTCTTTGCTCATATTCTTGATTGATAACTCATTCCTTTAAAGACCCATCAGAGCCCCCATTTTTATTCAAGTATTTTACACCAACCATGGTTGAAATTTTCGGAAACATTGAGCTTGTAAGTACATTAAAAAAGTATAGAGTGTTTACTGTGGTGTCAATTTTATTCATCACACATTTCCAACTGCTATCTGTGCCTTAGTATTGGATCGATTGTATGAATTGCATCTTTCATCTTGATGAAAGGCCGAAAGACATGGTGGTCTTTTCCATTTTTCTGATCTTAGAT